TAGGCCCTGTGCTTGCTAAAGATCAGGTCAAACTGCACCTGTGTAATCTGAATATGATAAATGATACAATTGTTAGATGTGATTAGATATAATTATTGTTTAGAGAACATGGGGAACCATGTTAGGGGGCTAGGGAGGATCACGAGAAATCCATGCTTGGGTAAAAACAATGCATACAATAGAACAATGTAAGTTTAATAATTAATATGTAAGTTGCATAATGATAGAGTATAAAATATGTTCAACTCGAAACCCAAGTTGGGTCAGATTTGGGTATGTGTACCCCTGACACCCAGAGCTCTTCAATAAAGCACCTTCATATAATCATTCCGTGATTATGTGTGATCCTGAATGCTAACATTTTGGCGACCCAGATGGGACCTTGTGAGTGCTGCTGAGCTCGCTCGCGACCCCATCATGCTCCAGTCATCACCGAGGGATTCTCAGGGAGCCCATCCGGCTGCAACCATCTCTGCTGCTCACAACAGAGCAGCAGAGCTGCTTCTCCCCGGGAGAAGAGGTAAGGTGCTTTGTTTTGGTTTGGGTGCCTGCCAGTTAGATGCGGTGAAAGCTGCGTGTGTTTGGGCTAAAGGAATTCCTCTTGGTAAAGCCTAGGCGCCGTCCATAAGACGACTGCGAAAGCGTTGCAGGTTCGGCATTTGGTGTATTGTAGTTGTAACATGGAGAAGGGTTTTGGGCTGCTGTGCTCCCATACCGGGTTACTTCTCCTCTGGGGTGCTTATTAGCACATTGGAAACAAGGTAACTTTGGGGAATAATTACATAAGACTAAGATAATTTCGGCCAGATCTCCCACAGAAGAAGACCCCAGCAACCCCGTCTTGTCTGTTGGTAGCTATAACCTCTTATCTCTTTCTTTACTTTGTTTTCCTTATCTCTCTCTCCCCTCTATCGCATAACCCCTGTTGTTGGCACTAAAATAAAGGTGCATTATTGTTATGATTTAAAACTGAAATCCCTTTGTGTCCTTTTTGCACTCTGAGATCAAACAAACCTCTCACTCGCATTAGTGAATCGTGACATCTAAATTGGAATCACGGACAGGATTTCTGACAGACAGAAGGGGCTGCAGGTTTGTTGTGCGGTCTGTATTAGGGGAAAGACGTTTTGCTCCAGCCGCACCTAGCCCGACACTCCCAAAAGAGTGAGCGGTGTCTAGAAAGCAAGGGGGGCGACTGATTTTCCGCAAACTGCACACGCCGAGGTAAAAAGCTTCTCACGCTCACTTGAGGGCTCTGCAGAATATCACAAATGATCTCTTAGTGCAAAAGGGCTGGACTGTTTTTGTTGTGCATATGAATTTTGACTGCTTGGTGCAGCAAAGAGACAACCAGAATTTTAAACTGAAGGACTGCCTCCCAAGCAGATTTGGTCTTTTTACCCATACAGGGAAGCAAAAAGTTGTGTGTGTGTGTGTATAATTTAAGTTTATACCTCCCTGTAGTGGTTTTTCCCTTCGTAGAAATGACTGAAAACGGCAGTGCAGAAGTTAAAGCTGCATTTTATGCATGTTGTGCTCTGTTAGCTAAACACAATGCCAGACCTTCTCCAGGAGGGAAAAGTTGGTGCTTAATAATTGGTTTAATTTGGAAAATGTGATTGACAGAGTATGTTCTTTACAACATGAAACAAAATTTAAACTGGGCAAAAATAAAACTGTACTCTGCTCAGTTTTGGGAACTTGTCTTACAGCAGCTATAGAAACTCGCTGTAAGTAAAGAAGTGAGGAAAAAACTACAATAGACTCCCTCCAAAACCTAGTTAAAATTTTGCAAAAACAATTGAATGAAGAAAGAAGTAAGATCAATCTGTTGCGAGTAGCTGTCCATGATAAAAATTTAAAAATGCTGACTTGCTAAAAGAAACAAGAGAGGGAAACCCCTCTCATTAATCAAATTTACCCTCAAAAAGAGCTAACTTGGATAAAATTGTGGGGAACACTGCTGTCCTAGTTTAAAACCTCTAATTAAAACAGAATATAACTATATCAATGGCAAGGATCTTGATCCACACATAACCACTAGAAATAGAAAAAAGGAAAAAAAATAAAAAAAAAAAAAAAAAAAAAAAAAAAGATAAATGAAAAAAAGGGAATACGGGTGTCTCCCTCACGAGTCAGAGACAGAATACGTATTCTGAGTGTCTCACTGGAGGTGATCAAATTCAATTGAGAGAACAGGAATCCAGTGGGTACTGGGGACATGGAAGAAACACGTAACCCATGGTCCCTAACTCAGCACGCAGCTTACTGGGCAGAAGGGCTTAACCCCTTGGAAAGGGGGAACTTTATTGCTATAGTTTGTACCTCCAACCAACTACTGAAAAATATTCAGAAAGCTGCCTGCTTACAAATGATACAGAAGAAAATTAATTGTTGGTTATGAATCACCAATGTTGTTACCTGTGAAAACTGAAATTATGGACCTGTAAAAAATCCCAGAAGGAAAAAATCAGAGAAAGCAAAGGGTGTTAGATACATTAATTCTCTTAATGAAAGCCCAAAAAGGAGAAAACAAATCTCTAACCGCCAGTATTGGTGATCACTAGAGATAAAGAAAGGGGTCCCCAGAAATGTAATGGATGGCTTATCACTTAAAAGTTGAGTAAAGTAGTCGTTAATTGGCACTGTCCCAGGTTCATTGTATCGAATGCCCCATTGTATAACCCAGCACACCTCCACAGGCTCTGGGCTGTGAGCCAAAGCAGTCTCCTTCTCAGCTTCTGGGAGTGGAGCCCATACAGCCTCAGAATCAGGGAAACTAGTAACTGCCTCTCATGGGTGAGCTAGAAATAACAAAATGCTCAATAGAAATAACAAAACTGGAGACATACTGATTACAGCAATAGTGGGTCCTAAATGTGCACCTATTACATCTGTAGTTAACACTAGAGCCCAAATTTCTGTGTTACAATACAGACTAGTACAGGATTTGAGAACAAAATAATGGAATAACTAAAGATATTTATCCAGTGGTAGCTAATCCTTGCACGCTGTTAACATCCGTAAAAGAGAAATAGAAATGGTTTACTGTAATTGATTTAAAAGATGTCTTTCTCTGCATACCCCTTGACAAAGAAAGTAGGAAACTGTTTGCCTTTGAATGGGAAAGTCTAGAAAATGGAAGGAAAACTCAGCTCACCTGAACACAACTCCCACAAAGATACAAGAACAGTCCAACACTATTTGGAAGTCAGCTGGCGAAGGAGCTGGAGATTTGGACTGAGAATGGGCAAGTATGAGAGAACAATACCTGCTGTTACAGTATGTTGATGATACACTGACAACTACAGAAGAGAAAACTACCTGCATAAAGTAACAATTGAAATTTTAAATCAACTGGGAATGGGAGGATATAAGGTGTCTAAAGAAAAGGCACAAATTACCCGACACACTGTGATTTACCTGGGATGTGAAATCTCACAAGGGCAAGGTAAGCTGGGTACTAACTGTATTCAAGCTATTTGTGCCATTCCAGAACCCCAGAACCTACATGAGCTACAAGTTTTCCTTGAGATGACAGAGTGGTGCCGTGGATTATGGACTATGGAACAATTGCAAAGCCCCTGTATGAAGCCCAGAAGACACAGCTGTTTACCTGGGGAAAACCACAGAAGGAGGTCTTCCCCAAACTAAAGGAGGCATTGGCAACTGCTCCAGTGTTAAGACTACCTGATTTATCCAAGGATTTTCACCTGTTTGTGCATGGAAGACTGCACCTAGCACTGGGAGTGCTGATGCAATGTTTGGGAAGCTGGAAAAAGCTGGTAAGCTGCTTTTCCAAACAATTTGACAACATTAAGTGCCAGATGGCCTTCATGCCTGCGGGCAGTTGCAGCCACTGTGATGCTGATACAAGAAGCTAGGAAACTCACGATGAGTAGACACATAAATGTCTACATGCCACATATGATAACCACTGTTTTAGAACAAAAGGGGGGCCACTGGCTATCTCCAAGCAGAAGGATGAAATTCCAGGTAATCCTGACCAGGCAGGATGATGTCGCACTAAAGACAACTAACCTTTTGAATCCAGCTTTGTTCCTAGGTACCACAATTGAAGAAGGCCCATTAGAGCACGACTGTGTAGAAGTAATAGAGTACACCTATTCGGCAAGAGAAGACCTGAAAGATATCGCACTGGAGCAACCAGAGTGAGAGCTATTCACAGATGGAAGCAGCTTGGTGGAGAACGGGACCAGATACACTGGATATGCGGCAACAACAGTCAGTACAATACTGGAGGTAAAAGCATTATCATCAAATACATCTGCCCGGAGGGCAGAACTGGTTGCCTTAACCAGAACATTAGAATTGAGTAAAGAGAAATCAAAAAGCAGACTGGAAAGCCTGACAGACTGCTTGAGAAGTGCAAACAACAATGGCATTGATACCTTTAAAGACTAATGGTTCTCAATTTAATTTGCCTCCAAAACCAAAATATTCAATATTAGATGAGAAATTGGGACATTTGCTAAAAGCACAAAAGATTTCAGAAGAGTGGTATGTAACTGCACAAATAGTGTTAACCCCCTTCATAATGAGAGAAGTTCTACAAATTAAACATAACAAATGTCATTGGGGTGCAGAGGCATTAGTAAAATTGCTAAAGCAAAAATTAATCTCGGTATGGATGTTAACAATGGCAAAATCAACTCAGCGGCTAGACACAGGCACAGCTAGGAAGGATTAAGATAGGAATAGAATCAAGATAACGCTTGGCAAGAACCTTGCCAAGTGAAATTTCACTAGTAGAGTGAAATTTAGGTGGGCCCTAGAGCAGATAGTAAACTAACAGAATAGAGAAACAGGTCAGGTAGATAGACTAGCAAGGGTCACCCAGGAAAGATTTAAAGAACTAAACATACAATTAAAATTTATTACTCCTGAAAGAACATGGAGTGTGTGAGTTCTTTTTTTAAGGGGATGGATTGATCATTGCTGCGTCCACATCCCAAATGGAACTGCAAATGGAGAATATGACATCAATCAGTTGCAACAAATAGAGCATGGAGCACATGAAGAGCAAAAGGATTTGACTACAAGTTGGTTAGGCAAAATCTTCAAAGGGTTAGGATGAAATGTGAGTTCATGGATTAAATCTATCACTGAGAGTGTGATAATCTTACTAATTGTATTTTTAGCAATTTGGTTAGTTTACAGCATTTTAAAAGGAGAAATACAGAAGAAAACGTCCTGGAACCAGAAAATAATAAAGGCACTGACGCGAGATCTACACCCACCATCCTCTGGTTCTCCGTGACAACATCCAGGACAGCGTTTACATCAATCAAGAATTCGAAGAACACCAAGTACCAACTCAGAAACAAAGGATTGTATCGAGTGAAAACATTTGCACTTACAGTGAAGTGAAAATGCTTTCAAAGTGGGGAATGATAGTAAAAGGTTCTAAAATCTTAGAAAGTTCAGAGACTTAGAAAGAAAGTTAGGTTTGGAAAGCCCTGGGAAAAGTAGGCCCTGAGAAATGTTAGGCCCTGTGCTTGCTAAAGATCAGGTCAAACTGCACCTGTGTAGTCAGTATATGATAAATGATACAATTGTTAGATGTGATTATATGGATGCTAAATCTGAACCAGAGTGCCTGTAGTTATTACAGGCCACATAGCTCTCAGGCCTGACTGAGGGCTAGCCTGAGAAACTCATGAGAAGGAATTAAAACAATTCTCAGAGATACTAAACAGCCTTGCAGGTGTTGTTTTGCAGTCTTGTTTTCTCTTGCAGGAGAAGGCCAGGGGGGGTGATGGGCCCCCCTGACCAATGATGGTGATGTAGCACTTTGTTAACCAATAAGAGTTTCTTTTCTGTACTTTCCACGTATCTGTCTATAAGACAGGGCTGAAGCAATAAACTAGGAATTCTCTTGTTGTGACTCCCCTGAGAGTCCTGTGTCGTTCTTTAAAGCCGTTCCCAATCGGATCGACATGATTAGATATAATTATTGTTTAAAGACCATGAGGAACAATGTTAGGGGGCTAGGGAGGATCACGAGAAATCCATGCTTGGGTAAAAACAATGCTTACAATAGAACAATGTAAGTTTAATAATTAGATTATTTGTTGAACAGTTAGATTGGAGTTT